CTAGCCAAAACACTCAAGCAATCATTACTGGAGAATCATATCTAGTTTTATACTGGACTTAATGTTGATTACATGAAGCACTACCACTAGATGGAGATAAATATATGTAGTCTATATTTAATTCATATGTAAACAAATTGTATATATCAATCACCTCTCATGTTCATAAAGCACAGCGCCTTATTAAATAATAAATATCATTTTTTTCTCTTCTGGTTTGATTACAATATCAGTGAGATTAAATGGAGATCATTTAAATTCAGGTCAAAAATAAATGCATATCAAAATAACTTTAAGGTTTCTAAAAAAAAGTCAGTGTAGTTTACCAAGTCTTTTAGGCAACTGATGTGCAACTAACTTAAATATTGGTTTGACCTAAAGATTTGATGGAATCTTGTGATGTTCTGATTGATTTTATGATATTTTTATGATCCATGCTTTTTGTCATGATTTTATTTATTGTATCTTGAAACCAGTAGCTATGAACAGGTGATCAGATTTAAATGAAGCTACAATGAGAAAATGAGCTCAGAAGTCTCTTCAGAGATAACATTTCTTTGACATGACTATTAGACATGCAGAAGAAGATGGGATGAACTCTGTGATATTTTCCCAAATGACCACATCTGGTACCTTATGGTTTTTTCCATGATTGCCAATATGTGGTAGTTGACTGCCATCAATCCACTTTTGTCTTTGTTTTGTCTTGGGACTGTCTGTTCTTATTGGTGGATATACATCACTGTAGCTGGCTACAGAAGAGGTACAATTCTTAGATAATTGAAAAGTTCTTTTCCCTGTTGTAGGAAGGATATTATTAAGCTGGAGAGGCTTCAGAAGAGATTTACCAGGATGTTGCCGGGAATAGAGAGTTTGAGTTATAAGCAGTGGCTGGATAGACTGGAACTTTTTTTCACTGGATCGTAGGAGGTTGAGAGGGGTGTAGATAAAGTGAACGGCTGGTGTCTTTTCCCTGGGTTGGGGTTTTTCAAGAGTAGGGGACATATTTTTAAGGTGAGAGGAGAAAGATTTAAAGAAGACACAAGGGGCATTTTGTTTTTTACGCAGGGAGTGGTCCGTGTGTGGAATGAGCTTTGTGAGGAAATGTTGGAGGTGGGTACAGTTACAATGTTTAAAAGACACTAAATAAGTAAGTGAATAAGAAATGCTTGGAGGGACATGGGCCAAGCACAGGCAGGTGGGACTAGTTTAGTTTGTGATTATGGTTTGCATAGACTGTTTGGACCGAAGGGTCTGTTTCCATGCTGTATGACTGTATGACTCCAAGTGTGAGGTGATATATTTTGGGAGGTCAAATGCTAGATGAAAGTATACAGTAAATGTCAGGACCCTTAGGAGCATTAGTGCACAGGGGGGTCTTGGGGTGCAAGTCCACAGCTCCCTGAAAGTAGCAAAACAAGTGGATAATGTGATAAAGGTGTATGGCATGTTTGTCTTCATCAGTCGGGGCATTGAGTGTAAAAGTTGGCAGGTCATGTTGCAACCGTGTAAAACTTTAGTTAGACCACATTTGGAGTAGTGTGTGCAGGTACGGTCGCCACACTGTAGGAAGGACGTGGAGGCTTTGGAGAGGTTGCAAAGGATGTTTACCTGCATGTTGCCTGGATTGGAGTGTATTAGCTATAAGGAGAGGTTGGAAAAACTTCGAATATTTTCACTAGAGCATTGGAGGTTGAGGGGCGCCCTGATAGAAGTATATAAAATTATGATAGACATGGATAGACTGGATAGTCAGAGTCTTTTTCCCAGGGCGGAAATCTCAAATTCTAGGCGGCATAGGTTTAAAGTGAGAGGGAGAATATTTAAAGGGGATGTGCAAGGAAGGTCTTTTACACAGAGGGTGGTGGATGCCTGGGAGGTGCTGCCAGGGAAGGTGGCAGCAGCAAATACGATATAAATGTTTAAGAGGCATTGAGACAGACATATGAACAACTGGGGATATGGACCTTGAGCAGGCAGATGGGATTAGTTTAGAATGGCATCATGGCCAAAGGGCCTGTTTGTGTGCTCCACTGTTGTATGCTCTAAGGGGAGCCAGAGAGTGAAAGCAGACAGCAAAGTGATAGGTTGTAAATCAATTACTGTCTTGAGGGTGATGTTGGGACAGATCTTACTTTCAATCAGTCACAAATGCTCTTTCAAAGCGAACCGAATTGCCTCTTTCTATGCTGTTACTTATTATCGTTTTATGTTTGCTGATATCAACAGTTGCCTCTCACAATCATTGTGCCATTTTAAATGTCTTTCCAGTGAAATGTATCTTGTGACTTAATATCCTTTAACTACAACTGCTTTTGGTCAGGCAAAATTACTAGGACCATAGAGAGTTAGTACAGATATACTTTATCCCTCCAAAGGGCGCGGCACAGTGGCTCAGTGGTTAGCGCTGCTGCCGCATAGCACCAGGGACCCAGGTTCAATTCCACCTTTGGGCGACCGTCTCTGTGGAGTTTGCATATTCTCCCCGTGTCCGTGTGGGTCCCTTCCGGGTGCTCCGCGTTCCACCCACAATCCAAAGATGTACCGGTTAGGTGGATTGGCCATGCTAAATTGCCCACAGTGTCCACGGATGTGTAGGACATGGTGGGCTAGCCATGGGAAATGCAAGGTTACAGGGATATGGTAGAGGACTGGTTTGGGTGGGATGCTGTTCAGAGGGTTGGAGCGGACCTGATGGGCCAAATGGCCTCTTTCCACATTGTAGGGATTCTATGAATATAACACCATGCCTACAGTCAAAATTTATGTAATGTCAATAGAATGGGTTCCACTTCAAGGAGAAGGACAATAAATTCTCCTTTGTCTAAGAGTTTCCAGACTTTTCTTTCAAAGGCTTTGTATATTAATCTCACTGTGACCCTATAAAAGACTATACGGTTGATGCTTTCAGATTGTATTGAGCCTAAAGGGGTTATTTATCAAAAATAAATTCCTTTCAACTCCCTGAGGAAATAAACTTAGAGAAAAACTTACTATTATATGGTGTGCGTCCTGAAGATTGTGCCTGCTGCCAGAGTAGAATTATTCCCTAATTATGTGTTTCCACTGCAGAGCAATGCACCCTCCTTAAACATGTGCATTATACCTTCAGTCCAGTTTGGGATAGAAATCCCATGATTTGGACCCACTTAAGAACCACTCCACACAAATGGCCCATCTGCAAGATTAAGTGCAAGGTATTTGGAACAGAGAGCAGACAAAACATTTCTGTGGAGTTGTCTGGCTGTGGAAATACTTTAAGTGTAGTTTTGGGATGTAGATATCACTGGCAAGTGCTGTACATATTGCCTATCAATCATACTTGGTATGTGAGTACAGCCACACAAAGACCAAGCCAAGAAAGGCAATAGGTTTCCTTCCATCTGGTACATCAATGAATCAGTCAATGAACTGAGTGAACAAAACATACTTTTTAGAACAATTTTCACAACTATTTTTACTTGTACCATATTTTTAGTCCCACTTTTAGTTGTAAAATTGATTCCAATGATTCAAATTCTCAAATTACAACTGACGGAGTGGAAGTCAACTCTCTGGATTATTAGTCTAGTAAATCACCAGGTTGAAATGGCATTTTAATTTTGAAATTCACCCTTCTGATATTTGTTTCCTGTCTGCTTAGAATACATAGTAAATTCCTACTGCTCAGCGTCAGTAGAGTGGAAATTTTCGGGAATACTGGATGATACATGTGTAAACCTTTACACCATCCAATTTGGATCTAACTTTTGTATGTGCCTCACTGACTCCCAGGTCATGATTACCACTCCTATCTCCTAGAGTTATGCTGGCTATTAAAAGTGACCAGATCAGCCATAATTTCACTGAATAGTAGAACATGTTTCAGATGCTACCTGCCTTATTCATGTTCCCAGATGTTGTATCATAGCATCGTAGAACACACTAGAGGCCTTTCGGTCCATCAAATCTGTACCACCAAAAATATATCACTACCTACATGGGGAG